ACTGTTGACTAATATTAATTATGTGTATGCTGCTTAATCGTCTAGGAGTGACCCTCTAAAGTGGCATTTAATCAGTTTTGAGGCAGCTGGCAAAAGTGAATTATGCAAGAGGACTGGTAGGGGAAACACCTAGGCAAGGATGGAGAAGGTTCAGAGAGACGGCGAAGAAAGTCTTACAGAGTTTGAGTGCTCAGGGCTGTGGGTCTGCGAAAAGCCCACTCTGTTGCTTCGCTCTGTATCAGCTCTTTCTGGGAAGAGGGGAGCATAAACAGAGGAGTAATTCAAGGGTATCCCAGCATGTCGTGGAAGAAAGTTCATGGATGAGTCCTCAATGGGCTCAGGGTATCCTGAGTCTCCACCACTGCTGGAACAGCTGCTGGAGACCATGTGTGAGATGGGTCACTAGAAATAGCATTTCTGCTGCTCTGCATTTAGCAGAGAGCTGGGTCCTGCCAGCATCCTCAGGACCAGGGAGAGAAAAGATACCTTTTCCAGCACCCCTGTTCCCTGAGCAGCATGGCTTCTCTGCTTGCTGGGGAGGTGTGTATTAACAGGCAGTCACTGAACCCAGAAGAATAAATGTGTTACTTTTCTGCCTAACGTGGTGAGGTTTTGGGGCTTTGCAGTAGAGGAATTTGAGGACCTGGTACACTTAGGTTAAAACAGCATTAATGGGGCTGAGCTGGTGAGGGGTGACATCAATAGAAGGAAAACCCGAAGTACTGCTTGGGATTTCAGAGGCGAAGAAAAGCAGCCTAACTTGTCACCACCGTAGAGGGCAGCCACGTGGAGGTGATGGAATATCTATAGGCCAACAAGGAGAACTAAGCAGTGGGTTTTGAGCAGTCAAGAGAGGTGTGGTGTGGGAATGGGGGAGCCTATGAAGCAAAGTGTGGTCAGAGAGGAGCAAAACCTTAGCCTAACTGCTGAATCTGACCCAGGTTTTCCCCTTGAGAGTTAGGAGCATAGCCACCAAGATGACACGTATCTTCCACAGGTACTGGAGATAACTGGCTATGTATTTCCCAGCTGTGTCCAATACCTTGTAGGACTACATCCCAGAATGGCTAGGCTGGGTTGAACTGGGTAAACTGGAATGGAGCAAGCTCTCCCAGGGTATGTGCTGAAGTCTGGAGGATCCTTTCCTGAGTCCTGCCACAGACCCTTCATCAGATGGACATTCAGGAAAAAATACCCCTGCACTCCCCACCCAGGTCTTCACCTCTTTTCAGATCACTCGACTAGTCATCTCTGCTCCAGCAACTTGAAAACCTTCAGCTTTGCTTCAAAAGAATTTATGAATTCCCCTCGCAGTTCAAGTGCATTCACCAGGAGTGGGGAATTCCTTTAGATCTCTGCTGAAGAATGCTTTTAAGTCAGGAGACCGCTTGCATCTACAAAGCAAAGTTGCTTGCTCACCGACCAACTCTGCTGGAAGCAGCGTCTCCCTTAGAAGATTCACTGTTGTTCCCTGTTCCCTCTTGCCTATCTGTAAACTACCCCATGGCTAGGTAAATATTTTTATTATATCCTATGCCAAGCTTTCTTCGCCCTCCCACAGTAGAAGATGCGCATCGGCTCCCTTTGACTGCGAATGAACGCCCATGTCTGAAAGGAAGCTGGCCTCGCTCCAGCTCTCAGCCTCACACATCCTGGCACAATGTTTTCCGACATCAAACTGCAGTGAGAAAACAAACTTTGGTTTGCTCCTCCGGTGTTAATATCGCCGCCCACAACTGCAGCGAGCTCTTACAGCTGTTCTTTCACAGTCAGCTGGTAGGGTGATAGGATAAATGAGGAAGAATTATCCAGCTCTGTGCTTAAATGGGGGATGGATGTGGTAACCAGGGCAGTTTCTGAGCTTCCCAGTGTGGGCACTGCGCAAAGGGGAAGGTTGAATAGGCTGGACATGTCCTCCTCTCTGCCAGAGCAATGGTGGTGCTCCAGGTCATGGACTCTTGCAGTTGTTCCTAGTTACCTCACAGGCAGGCCGGCTCACCCTGCTCCAAGAGCAGGATTTGGCTTTAAAAAGCCTGGCCATCCAGTCACAGACAAAGCATCCCTATCTTTCTCCTCTTTTCTGACTCTTTCTGCCTTGTTTATGGGTAAAAGCCAGCAGAGGCTCTGTGGGGAGCAGATGCAGGGCCACAGCCCTGTGAGCTTGGCTGCGTGCGGGCTGGTGTGGGAAGCGAGCTTGCTCTGCTGCAATAGCTCCCCGCTCCCCTCCCGGCGTCTCAGGGAGAAAACTTGCTGCTGTTTGTTAGCGATGACTCTAAATGAGCACATGCTTCAGCTTTCTAGCTGAGCACATTTTTTGGCCTTTCGGTGGCATGCGTTGTAAGTATTTAATGTTATCGACAGAAGCCAAAGGTCTCCAACCTCCTCTCTGCCAAATGAGATCAGTGTCCTGCGTTGGAGGTCTGAAGCTCCGCAATGCATCGAGCCACTGTCTGTCTGATGGCCCTGCTTTCTTTGATGTGCCGATCCTAAGGTCTCTTTTCTCTTTGTCCCATCTCTGTTCTGTGTCTCAGGGTTTTTAAGCATCTCTCATGTGAATGTATCACATCTTGAGCTAATCAGAGCTCAGTTTACACCAGGTTTTTCAAAGGCTTGTGGGCAGTCAGTGGCAAGGTGGCTTTAAAATGGGCTTTTTAACTGCACACCACAGGGTTCATGCCCTGTTGGTGACCCAGGGAGCTGGCAGCACCTTGCCCATGTAGGCAGGCTTCCATGGGGTTGTCCCTGTGTGCAACCTGTTCATCATGTTGGTTGGATTTATGAGCAGGGTTCCTCTTCTTCCCACCTGTGTGACTGGTTTTGGCCTGTTCTTCCCTGGTCTTGGTGCACCTGAACATCCCAGTACATGGTGTCAAGGCTCAGACTGGTGAGTGAGACCTCTGGCTCCTAACGAGGAGCTGGGAAATACCCAGTTTTTCCATCAGTGCATTCCTACAGGCACCCCAGAAGGAGGAGACGCGTTGTCTTTACTGATGTATACCTCTGTTTTAAAAAAACTATTGCCCAGGCATAGCTGTAGCTGGGACTGGTGAGTTCACAGACCCACTAAAACCTCAGTGGCATAGGCAGGACCTGTGCAGACCAGCAGATTCGAGAGGGAGCTGCCAGTAGCCATCCTCTTTAGTGCAGTTACTCTGCTTTTATTCACTGTGGGTAAAGGTGAGCATTGCTCTTTGAATTACGCCTCTCCTCTCCAGAAGCTTCCCTCTGCTCTGAACCACAGAATTATCCCCATTCTTTGTTGTGTTTACTGACTTCTTAGCATCTGCTGGATCCAACTGGGAGCTGCCCTGCTGGTAATCAGCATCCCCCCGGATGTACTCCTCCCTGGCTGACTCAGTCGGCCACAGAGCTTCAGCACAGCCCTTGCGAGCAGAGAAGCAATTGCTCTTTCTGCCCTGTCTGTCTAGAGCTCTCCCCCCAGCCCTCCCGGCAGCTGAGTCACTTCCTTCTTTAAATCTGGCCTTAAATCTTCCTTTTCTCTTCGCCCTGTGATTCACTCCCTTTGTGAAGCGCTTTGCTGCACTCCGGCTGGAAGACGCTGAGATGCTCCCAGTGCGAGATGTCTTCCTTGTCTCAGAGCCACAGCGGTGAGCCCCCCTTCGAGGGATGGTCCCTGCGCCGTGCTAAATGGTGTCTTAGTATCAGTATTTCTCTTATCTTAACATTTTTTTTCAGTGCTACATTTGACGTAGTAATAGGAACCAAGTCCTGCCTGCAGGCGAGCGCGTGTAATTTCCTTTGACATCAGCGTGTGCCTGTGAGGGCACAGCTCTACCCTTTCCCACCCCATTTGATTAGATTCAGTAAGGGAGTCATCACAGGATCTCTGCGACTCCTCCTCGTCCCTTGTGGGATTTAAGGAGCGCTGCTGTTAGAACTGAGCTGAAATGTGCTCAGAGAAAGGAAAGCTTCAATTTCTGCTCCATAAGCCTGGAGGTATTTTTAGTATAACGTCTACACAACTCAAATTTTTATGTTAAGATTTTTTTTCTCCCTTACTTGCTTATTTCCTTGGCCTTGGACCCTCTCATATCCAAGTGCCTCACCTTTTCACAGTTTCCCGGTGTGGAAGGGAATCGCCAACCAACAGGGTAGTTAAAAGATGTCATGAATTAGCCGCATGGCACCATTGAACTTGACTAGACCTGCTCCAGTTACCAGCAAAGAGTGAGATAAAATTTGCCAAAGCTTTTAAATCTGGCTTTCAGCTGTGTCTTAGATAGTTAAGTACTAAATCCTTTTCACTGTCCTTGCAGCTTAGGCATACAAATACTCAAGTTGCTTAGGCACTTAGGAAAGCATCCAGTGGGTGCCTTGCCCCCAGAGGCTGGGCAGAAATGGGCAAAGCCAGGGACCAGACCTGGTTTTGTGAAGGTGTGGTGGCTTCCTCAGGACAGTGGTGTCCAGGCCAGTGTCAGCGGTGTAAGAGCACATTAATGAAACATTTGGGATTGAACAAGGAGGTTCGGTGGCAGACCATGATGCTTCAGTCACTCTGTAAGGGAGGGTCTGTTTGTGAGACAGTTGCACTTAGAAATGCATGCAGGCTGTGCAGCTATATCTGTTTGTAGGTCTGGTTTTCTAAAATGTGACTGATGACCATTTTCTAAAGAGCAACAAAATGTCATTTTCCAGTACAGTAAGTCTGCAAATTAAATGAAATCGCTATTGTAAAGAAACTTAGTTTCTATGGAGGTGACAGGGGCTATGGAGTTTGTTAGGAAAAGACCTCTGGTCCAATGAGAGGACTTTTCATTTAAACTGATTCCTACAGGAGACATAGCAATCAAGTAAATGAGAATTGCAATTTCTAACAAATACTGATAATCCTAAGCTCTGATTTTTAATAAAGCTTCAGCGATCACATTCTTCAGCTTCAAAACAGGCAACTCTTGAGAACGACTTAACATCTCCTTTGCGTACTGATCTTACCTTGCATACTAAGCTTACATTGCATATATTTGTTTTCTTTTGCTTAGAACGAAGTGATCAGCCAGCAGCTCTCTGTCATTTTCACTCATTGCTATGGACCCTACCCTATTCCAAAGCTCGTTGAAATTAAGCGCAAGCAGACCTCTCGCCTAGGTAAGCGTTGACTTGAAGATACTTGTTGGTTCTCCAAGGAGAGCTGTGGGAAGTCTGCATCACTGGCCAGATGCTTGGAGGGGGGAACGATTCAGAGAAAAAACTGAATTTGAAAGGCAGAACTAGAAAAAAGGAAGGAGCCCAAACTTAGCCTGACCTGAAACTCCTGCTGA